CCAATGCAAACCCGCTCTAAGGCCAGTGTTTTCTGCCCAAAACAAATTTTAGACCTCCACGCCACCACCTCCATCTCCCCTTTACACCCAACTTACTGTAGTGCTATGAAAGATCCAAACTGGCATGTTGCTATGTGTGATGAATATAATGCTTTGTTAAAGAATGACACATGGGAACTAGTACCCCCCTCCCCCAACCAAAACATAATCACCGGTAAATGGCTCTTCCGACACAAATTTGGCCCATCCGGTGAGCTATCCAGGTATAAGGCCCGATGAGTGGTCCGTGGATTCAATCAGCGTTTTGGCGTTGACTATAGCGAAACTTTCAGCCCCGTCATCAAGCCTGCCACGATCTGAATCGTCCTTAGCCTCGCATTGTCTCGTAGGTGGCCCATCCATCAGCTCGATGTCAAAAATGCCTTCCTCCATGGACAGCTTCAGGAAACCGTGTATGCTAGCCAGCCCTCAGGATTTCAGGATGCAAATCACCCTCATCATGTCTGCCGGCTCAAGAAAGCTCTTTATGGTCTGAAACAGGCACCCCGGTCATGGTATCACAGATTTGCAGGCTTCATTCAGAGTATTGGATTTCGCAGCTGCAAATCTGACACTTCTCTTTTCATCTTCACGCATGCCTCGGGGACCGCCTACCTCTTATTATATGTTGATGATATCGTCCTCACTGCCTCCTTGCCAGGGCTTCTTCAGAGTCTCATTCAGAAACTCAAGGCTGAGTTTGCCATGACAGACATGGGTGATCTGCATTTCTTCCTTGGCATTAATGTTCATCGCACTGCTCAGGGCCTTTTCCTCCATCAGACACAGTTCACTCATGAGATCCTTGAGAGGGCAGGGATGGTCTCTTGCCGCCCCATATCCACTCCAGTCGACACCAAGGCAAAGCTTTCTTCCTCTTCTGGCACGACACTTTCAGATCCTTCTCTTTACAGGTCCATAGTTGGTGCTCTACAGTATCTCACATTCACCAGACCTGACATCACTTATGCCGTTCATCAGCTCTGCCTCCACCTTCATGCGCCCCACGACTCTCACCTCACGGCCATGAAGAGAGTTCTACGTTATCTTAGTGGCACCGCCACTCACGGTATCTACCTAACTCACTCCTCGACAGACTATCTCCAGGCTTATTCTGATGCTAATTGGGCTGGCTGTCCCGACACCCGACGTTCCACTTCCGGGTACTGTATTTTTCTGGGCGACAACCTGATCTCATGGTCTTCAAAACGCCAGGCCACCACTTCCCGTTCCAGTGCAGAGGCAGAATACCGGGCTGTGGCAAATGCAGTTGCTGGGACTTCTTGGGTCCGAAATCTTCTTCTTGAGCTCCAGCAACCACTACGACGCGCCACCCTCGTCTTCTGCGACAACGTCAGCGCCGTCTATCTCTCATCGAACCCAGTTCAGCACCAGCGCACTAAGCACGTTGAAGTCGACATACACTTTGTGCGAGACAAAGTAGCACTCGGCCATATCCGAGTCCTTCACGTGCCCTCCTCTTCACAGTATGCTGACATCTTCACCAAAGGACTACCTTCTCTACTCTTCCTCGAGTTTAAGTCCAGTCTGGGTATCAGACCCCCTCCTCATCCGACGTAGCCGGGAGCATGTTAAATATATTCTATATTTAATGTAAATATATTGTTTCCTATTATTGTCTCCTACCTTGTATAGGATTAGGAATATATTGTTTCCTATTATTGACTCCTACCTTGTATAGGATTAGGAACCCTTGTGTATATATAGACATGTACTCCCACATATTCAATNGACTTCTTGGGTCCGAAATCTTCTTCTTGAGCTCCAGCAACCACTACGACGCGCCACCCTCGTCTTCTGCGACAACGTCAGCGCCGTCTATCTCTCATCGAACCCAGTTCAGCACCAGCGCACTAAGCACGTTGAAGTCGACATACACTTTGTGCGAGACAAAGTAGCACTCGGCCATATCCGAGTCCTTCACGTGCCCTCCTCTTCACAGTATGCTGACATCTTCACCAAAGGAATACCTTCTCTACTCTTCCTCGAGTTTAAGTCCAGTTTGGGTATCAGACCCCCTCCTCATCCGACGTAGTCAGGAGCATGTTAAATATATTCTATATTTAATGTAAATATATTGTTTCCTATTATTGTCTCCTACCTTGTATAGGATTAGGAATATATTGTTTCCTATTCTTGACTCCTACCTTGTATAGGATTAGGAACCCTTGTGTATATATAGACATGTACTCCCACATATTCAATTAATGAAATCAACCTTTCTACAGGGAGATTTTCCGTCCCCTTTCCATCTTTCCCCCTTTCTCCGTTACATTAATGCACCATCATCATCATCCATGATGATGGTGATGATGGATGATGATGATGGTGCATTAATGTAACGGAGAAAGGGGGAAAGACGGAAAGGGGACGGAAAATCTCCCCTTAGTATATTTTTGTAAAATCTAGGGTACCTGAGAGTATATTTTGAAAAATAGAGGTACCTATCAGTTCTTACAACAAAACATGAGGTACCCGGCAACAGTTTTTTGTTTTTTTGTCATTCAATTCAATAACCGCATTTTTATTACAGCAATAATGCCCCGTTGTTCATTAAAAAACTACACTACTTGTTTGACATTTATGCATTACATGCTCTCTCCCTTTGCCAAATAAATTACACTCTTGGATCGTGTAAAATTTTGTCTTTTTCAAATTTATTAAATTTATAAAATTAAATGATACAAAAGCAAGATACTAATATTATGGTACGGAAGACTTCGATTGTCTTTAATTAAGTTCTAAGAAGAAGAACGATTAGAGTTTTAGGAGAATGTATTTAATCGGGGTCGGATTGATTTTTTGTAATTTAAAAGTAAGTGTGTTCAATTGAAAATTTGAAAAATCATTTAAAATGTAGAGGTATTTAACTAAGACTTTGAAAAAATTATTTGAAATACGAATTGAAGGTATTCAATTGAGATTTCGAAAAATCTTTTTAAATTTAATGGTATTAGAGAATTGATAGATTCTCATCAAGAATTATAAAAAGAGAAATTTACCTAAATAGGACTAAAACATAATGACTTTCCCAATATAGGACCATATGTTTTTATTTCCCAATGTATGACCTTTGGTCATTATAAAGTAGTCATTATTCAAGTAAATGTCCATCATTACTGGACATTATTCCTTCCACTAGGTCATTATTAAGTCCTGTTTAGGGAATAGAAAAGTTTAAGTCCTACATTAGGAAAGTCATTATGTTTTAGTCCTATTTTGTGCAAATTTCACTTATTAGAAAATATGGATCAAATTGTGATGGATTTTTTTATTTTGAGTATTAATAAAAAGGATAAAGCTATTTGTACCCCAAATTTTTGTACTCCATTTTGTACACCGCAAGTTTGCACCGACATTTTGTGTTGGTGTAAAACTAATATTTGTAAACGCACCAACACTTTGTGTCCGTGTAAATTTTTGTTAACGCACCAACACTTGTGTTGGTGTAAACCATCAAAATATTTGTGTATAACTACGGTGTACAAATGGAGTACAATTTTTGGTGTAAGTGTAACATGGCCCTAATAAATATCTTGTTTGCAAATCTAACCAAGAGCCTTAGGATTGTTAATAATAATAATTAATAACAATAAGAATAATACGGAGTAAATAACAATACAGTTTAAAAAATAATTTATTTTTATTTTATTATGCTATTTTTAGAGTTTTTTTATCAATTTCATAACTAATAATAGAAAAATGTGTGGATTTTTAAAATAAGTCAAATGTATCTATAAATAATCTATGGATTAAAAGTTAATTACCAATCAGTCAAAAATCAAAATCCTATAAAATTTTGCTATAAAAACATTGAAATTTATCTAACTCTAAATAAACTTAAAATAATTCATTAATTTTATAGAATCTATAGATTTTAAACAATCTATCAAACTTTTTTAAAATCTGAATTGAATACATTTTTCTTGATTATTCTTTGATTTCTCTCATGCCTTTACAATTAAAAAATGTATGAATGCCTATGCAATGAATAAGGGGCATGTGGACTTGATGACTTGTAATGTCACACCCTTCCGTAGCTTGTAGAGTAGTAATTTTAATTCTCTTTCATTTATTTATTGGTTTTAAATTTAATGTTTCATATATAGTCTAAAATTTTTAAAATTCTTATAAAATTATATTTTAGTTTTAATAGGTAATTATTTTTATTTTAATTTTTTAAAATGCATATCTTATGTTTTCTATATATTCATACTTGGTATTATATTTTCTACAAAATTTTTCATTTCCAACTATTTTACCCATTTGTACAACGTATTTCGCGACTGTAAAATATTGTTTTAATATGCATAGTTATTTTATTGTTTCAAAAAAGTTACTCCCTTTGTCTGAAACTAAAAATGATCCTTACAAATTACATTCTAGAACATCAGAATATGATCTTATAGTTACCTTTTTAAATATTTAAAATATCATGACTATGCTCATTTATTACATCTCACTCATGTTTAATAGGGAGTATACTTAAACAACATCCGTTACCAGTGAAATGAAAATTTAAATTTTAGTGACATTACTATGTTACTTTAGTGACACCTTATTAATGCTTTAACTATAATATCATTAATGTGTTACTGGATTTTACAAATCTCATATATTGTTCACTTAAACAATTACAATAGATTTTTTTATAAAAGTCTAATTAATTTTTTAAAACAATTATGAGATAATTTATTTAATTATCTATAGAATGGATAAATCATAAAATACTTATAATCTATTGAATATCAGCTAACATTCTGTAATAAGTATTATGATTGAGATATATATATATATATCATAAATTATTTGATGAAATAAAATTTTCATTAAGGTTAATGAGTTTCCATTTTTTAAATATTTAGTCAATCACTCATTAGATGAAAACATATTATCTTAGTAAAAATTTGTTGATTGAATTTTTTTTAGAAACAAATACAAGTGGAAACCACATTCTTTACTACATTAAAAATGAAAGCAAGATGATTATGAATTTGATGCATGGAGTATTTTGTACTAAAGTAGTAGTAGTAGTAATAATAATAATAATATCAATAATAATAATAATAATAACATCAATAACAATAACAATAACAAACTCAAATGACAAATGAAAGTGTAGAAAAAGAAAAGGAGCTGAGGGACATTCTCTGTAAAACTATCAGAGCTTCACATAGCTTGAAATGTCAGCAGAGCAAACTAGAATGGCTAATTGAAGAAAAAAAAAGGGTCCAAACTGTTCTATGCATGGATTAAGAAGAGGATAGCACCGAACCATATATTGGTATTTCAAAATGAGAAAGGAGACGCAGTGGAAGGAACTGATGAAATAGCTAATTTAGTCTTTGTGCAGTACTATACTAAACTACTGGGTACTAAGACATCAATAAAAGGTATTGATGATAATATTATTAAAAGTGGTAAAGTGCTGAGTTTAGAACAATAAATGGGTCTGATTAAACCATTCAGCAGGCAGCATGTCAAAGAAGCAGTTTTCTCTATTCCAAAGAATAAAAGTCTAGGTCCTGATGGCTATGGAAGTGGATTTTTTCAAGGAAGATGGAAAAACTTTGATGCAAGTGAATGCCACATCCTTGACAGTGATCCCCAAAATATCAGACCCACTTATCTCAAAGGATTTCAGACCTATTGCATGTTGTAACACAGTTTACAAGGTCATATCCAAGATGATTTGTATGAGGTTGAAAGAATTACTGCCTCACATCATAGATATTAACCAAAGTACATTTGTCCGAGGGAGGGAGTTAATACACAATGTGCTTATGTGTCAAGAGATAGTTAAAGCATACCATATGAAGAGTATCTCACCAAGGTGCATGAAGAAATTAGACATTCAGAAAGCATATGATACGGTTAGTTGGGAGGCCATAAGAGGTATCTTGCACAGCTCTAAATTTCCCGAACTTTTTATTAAGTGGGTGATACACTGTATCACTACTCCAACATACTCTGTTAATGTTAATGGTGGTCAGTTTCGGTACATAAAAGGGGTGAAAGGGTTAAGACAAGGAGACCATGTGTCCCCTCTCCTTTTTGTAATGGTGATGGAGTACCTGACAAGGAGTTTCAAAGTGACTGTCAACAAAAAAGATTTAAGTTCCATCCTAAGTGTGGTGAATTAAACATAGTAAATATTTGCTTTGTTGATGACTTAGAGCATGTTCTTTAAGATTAGAAAAAGAAGAGCTAGATGTTGGAAGAAACAAGAAGAAATTGGAAGAAACTGCAAGAAACTAGAAAAAACTAGAAGAAACAAGAAGAAACTGGAAAAACTAGAAGGTTTGGAAGAAACTGGAAAAACTTCAAAAAATTGAAAAACCTAAAAAAACTTTAAGAAAATTATGTTTCAAATTATTATTATTATTATATTATTATTATTATTATCATCATCATCATCATCATCATCATCACGTTATCTTAATGAATGCCTTTAAGATACAAAAAAATATTGTTATGTTTCAAATACAAAAAAAACTACTTTTGCAAAAAATATATATATAATATAAAGTTAGCATAAATATAAAAATATTAAATTTTAAAAAGTTTTTGTTGCCACGTTTCACCTCAATTTATTCATGCAGTATTTATTATAAATAATATATTTGTAATTATACTTTATATTTTACAAGATTTTTTTTAAA